TATATATATTGATTTGTGATTCGTTATTCGTTATTCGTGATTCATGGTTTCAGATTGATTATTTTGAGTATGCGCTGTTTGAGTAAACACGCCTTTGACATCGTTGCGTACCTCTGAGGTATATGTCGCCCATTCCATGTGTTTGAAATATTTATATAATGATGAGTATGCGTTCCTTTTTGATTTTATTTAAACGAGCCCAATTGCCGACGTATGAATATCGTAAGTCTTCATGTAATACCAGCTTACCTTTAGCTTGCTTTCTGGGTGCCATAACCCGTCCTTGTATGAGCTTGTATTCATGGTAGCTCAGGCTTGACTTTGTGCTGAGCGCCTGAGGCTTTGGGTGTGGTTGTGTACACATTACTCTATACTCGCATCCATTGTGCTCATACTGATACTTTAACCACCGCGCTGCATGTCTACTATCAATATACCTACCATCGCTACCTGCTGCTTAGACCTTCGCAGTTGCCCTCGGCATCTCCGCGGTTGTTGGTGTGCTACTGCTGTGCTTATTCTTCATCCTGAGGAAGAAGTTCAAGCGCTTCTATACAGCCCGTATACGATTCCTTCCGTATGTTAGCGTTCAGTTGTACCGAAATGTGTTGAAGTGCTAGATGTTTACAATATTTCTCGGATGTGATATTGTTCTTTATCTCTATTGAAGTGCTAGATGTTTACAATATTGCTCGTATGTGACTGTCAGTGTTGATGTGTGTGTTGTTGGCATAAGGTTTGGTTCTTGAAGGTACGTATTGGGATAGCTTTGGGTTTGTCGCATACTTTTGTATGTACTGTAGCTAAATTCAAAACACTTTTGCGGCCGTAGATGTTGCGCAGAGCACATTGATTACACACATACTTGGTGCCCTATGATATTATGCATCAAACACACCATCAGGCCACAAGGCACCCAACAAACAGGTAGTGCTAGTCCCCACACACAACTTTCACCCCAATGCATAGGTAATCCGTACAGTTTACTAGGTTAGAGCAGATTATATTGCAGTCTGTGAGTACACATTGTACCAACGCTCGTATACGTGAAAGAAATATCACTCTTGATATATGTATATCACTCACAGGAGTGCCATGTACATGCAAGGACTGTGATAGTCTGATGGTTATGCATGTTTTTATGGTGAGTTCTTATGGTGACATGTTTACATATTCTTGTCGGCAGCATATCACTTGTGCATAGTATGCAACCCGAATCGATAACTTCGCGTATATATCACCATTCACCAACCTGCCCACTCCCACATACGTTGTCAGCCCACTTCCAAAAACGGTTTTAACGCGCTTCCAAAGATTAAACCCTTCGACTGTTTCGGCGTTGTATATGAATATCACGGATACATGCCATAGGCCTCTATCAGACTCACGTTTCTTCTTCTTATTTTTCCCGCTTATATCGCTTCGCGGGTGAGTGCCACATGTGCACCTTCCTTCAACAACTCAAGTCATATTCTTGCGTATGCGCATTCCACTGTCGCACAACCAACCCCGTAGTTCTCGGGGACAGGGCCCTTTGCAAACCCAATGAGAAGAAAGTTACCTTATCTTCTCATGTATTAACTTTC